AAAGCCCCCTTTCAGCTTTGCCGAGATTGTGGGATTTAAGGGTTTAGGGTCTCATATAGGGTTTAGGACGTTGGGCCTAGAGTTTAAGGCGGATGTCGGAGTTCCCGGGCTGGGGTTTCAAGGTTTCGGGCTTCAGGCTCTACCTGGACCCGAAAGAACCTACCTTTTTGGGGTTCCTTATGATGATTTCTTTATATAAGCCCTGAAAAAGGTAGGCTATTTTGGGTTTAGGTAGGGCTTGACGGACTTGCGAGCTAGAACCAAACATATGTGGTGTCCAGGGTCATAGCAGGCGCGGATGCCCTCACAAAGCTGCCCAGTTTGAATCCAACCCAGATGTGCTGTGACACCACACCTGAACATGGCGGCTTAGGTATTTCATGTTACACGTTGTTTCCGAGGAGAACCAACAACAACCCACTCCGATCGCACGCATGCGTCCCTCCATGTTTTTACAACAAACTTAGCGCCAAAAACGGAACCATATGCCTGGATTTTTGAAAAACTCCTATGCCCCTAAACCTACAGCTATCTTCATGAAACCTCCAGCGCAAGACCTGCTTCTACAGCCGTGCAAATGCCTTACAAAAGCCTGTGCGGCCCGAAGCCCGAAACTTTAATCCATAAACCCCAGAAGCCCAGTACGCCTTGCCTGTGGCCCAAAAGACCTACCAGATTGCGTAACTAGATATGTATATATATATATATATATAAATATAGAATCCTTAATAAGGAACCCTAAAAAGGGTAGGTCTTTCCGGTTATAGGTAAGCCGACCAGGTGCTACTCCGGGGCGGCGCCTCCCTAGAAGCCAGGACTCGTTGTCTGAACCCGTCGTGTGCGGCTTCACTGTGTAGGAATATGTCGGATTCTTAGTGGCTGCGTCCATAAGCTTAACCTCTTCTGGTATGGTTCTCTCTCTCGCTCTCTCCGCGCATATATATATATATATATAGATATAGATATAGATATAGATATAGATATAGATATAGATATAGATATAGTAGCATGCGTACATGTCCGTACACACACATACAAATATATAGGTCTATGTATATGTTCTCCTACTTGTACCTTTTAGGATTTGTTGGGCTGTCTTCAGCTCCTAAGGATGTCAGGCCCAGCGATGCTCATGGCTTCGGGGTTGAGGATTTTAGAGATTTATAGGGCTTGGTGTGTAGGGTTTAGGGTTTAGGCTTTAGGGTTCTTCAGGGTTTAGGGTTCAGGGTTCAGGGCTTCGGGTTTAGGGTTTAGGGGATTGGCATAAAAGCAAGGGGCTTTAACAAAAATATATTTAAGAGAATTCGGATGCATGGAGCATTGGGGGGGTCCATGCTTGTTTGGGACATTGTGCTTCCAGTATTCCCCAAACCTCAACTCTAGGCCCTGTGCCGCGCAACCCAAAGGATTGAAATCCCTAAAACCCAAATCCAAAACCCCCTAAACCCAAAACCCCCAAAAACCCTTAACCCTAAACCCCTAAGCCAGGCTTGTCCCAGTTGTGAGTGCTGAAACCCCTAAACCCTGAACCCCAAAAGTCCTGAACCCCCAAAACCCCCAAAACCCTAAACCCCTCCAGAAGCCCCCGACCTTCAACTTCTCAAGATACTTGGAGGATCAGGGAGCTTAGCAAGGGTCAAAAGTAAGGCAACCATAGTTGGGTGGTTGTCAAAATTAGGGTCCCTTTTGGGTCCTTGTTTTATACGGCACCTATTATTTAGGGTACCCGAAAAGGGACCCCCCAGGTACTGCTCCGCTCCACGGACTTTCGGAGGCTTTCTTCATTTCATTTGGCAGTTGGGGAACTTTGAAACTCTTAGCTGGACAGGGCTGCCGGCTGACTCGGACTGTAGCAACCCGAGGTGGGCACATGCTTAGCCGTTGGTGCTGAATGGTGCTCTAGGTTGTTGGGCACGCCAGAAATTGGACGACCTGCCTGGCCTGGCGTAAGGTTGTGCTTCTCCAACTTCTCAGCTCTGCCCATGCAGCCACCCAGCGAGGTCGGGCAACTTAAATGCGGTTGGCCTTAGTTATGATACCGCCGAGGCAAGTGGCCTCACCGTACTACCTTGTGATACCTGGCGGGGGTTGGACATCCGAGACGCCGACATTAAGTACACCGTGGCTGCAGCTACGAGGAGACGAAACAACCGGGGCCGGCCCTACCGAATGCTTGGCACGTAGCAGTGTCTTTTCTATGCCCCTCAATCTTGTGTGTTCTTGTAGTGTTTGCCGTATTGGTCTTAGGCTGACAATGTATCTTCCTTGCTCCTTGGACCCACTGTCAGTTACTAATTGTTCTTACATCCGTAAAACCTAAACCCTGGAGCCCTCAAGCCCTAAACCACGGTTTTGGGGTTTAGGTTTACGGTACTTGGCTCAACAGCAACATGGGCATCTTGGCAGGAAGCTCAGCTTACGGAAGGACACACCCATTGGAAGCAGACTGCCATGGCTTTCGTTTTCTAAGTGATGTGTATGTGTGTGCTGTAAAGGTTTTCAGGTTTCTCAAAAGGTTTTACAGGATTTTCACAGGGCTTTACCGGGACTGTTCTGGGTTGGAACCTTGGCATTCGGTTATTTTTTGAGGACAGGAGGGATCATTCCAGGCATAATCAGAGGGCGCTGACAGTTTAGATTTCATCGAGGACTCTGGTTTGCCGCATCTTCTTAGCCAAGCAATCTCGTAAACCCTCAATCTTGCAAGCTTTAAAACTTATAGCCTTATAGCCTTAAAGCCAAGCCCAAACCCTAAACCGTAAACTCTGATATCCCGATCGCCAGGATCCCAGCGGAGCACCCGGATAAACTGCTGCGCGGACAAATCCCGCGACTTGGCAGCTTATGCGTGAGGGTTTTGGGAGCTATTCAAAGAGCAAATGCTTACAGGAATAGTGGAATAGGGGGCTTATGGCATAAGTATAGGCAATAGGTGGGCCTCGGGAAGCACTCTCTAAAGTAACGCGCCGCCCACAACCCTACGAAGCCCCGCCGAGGGGTCACGGTTAAGGATTAGAAGACATATGCTTGCGATCACGACCACTAGGAGTATCATAATGTTATTATTATTACTACTAGTATTATTAGTCGTAGTAATAAATAGAAAAACTAGTCTTATTCTTGTTGTGAGGGTATGCTGCACAGATCCCGTACGGCTGGTAGTGAAAAAGGACCGGAGGCCTGAGTAAGTATACTTCAAAGGTTTAGGGTTTAGGGTTTAGACTTATAAGTATACTGGAAGGGGGTTTTCAGAGATTCCAGCTCTACATATAAGCTACTTGTCGGCTTATTGTAACCCTAAGTGAGGTGCTTATACTCTACTTATTCAGCCCCCTGAACCTCTGAGAGGGTTCAGGTTTTAGGCAACACCGCCGGGCGCAACATGCAAGCCTGATGCAAAGCGGGTTCGGGGTTTATGGTGAGGAGTTTCATGATCGCGGCATGCTTGGTTTGCTGTTAACGGGCTTCATGCCTCCTGGAATGAGGTTGGCATTTCCACTACATCCCAGTTTCAGTTCATCGGGCAAAGGTTTAGCATTCAGGACTTGCTTTGGGAAGGCGAATTCGGAGGTGATCGCAAGTGCAAACAAAAGGTGCTTCGCACCACACATTGTGGTGGACAGTTAAAGAACGATAATGTAGGGGCCTCAATAACTACCATATTATTTTAGGGGCTCCTTATTGTTATTGTACTATGAAGGACCCCGAAACCCTATTAAGGCCCCTCAATTGCTTACAGCTCTTCGACATTGCGGCTTCGGGGCTTCAATTCAGATTTATGATTTATGCTTGGATACCCGCATGATGTTTCCACTGCCGTTGGGCTCCAGCGCACCAACATAGCACAGCTCGTGAGCTTTCGTGGCCTCCGTTGCCGAGTGCTTTGATCATGCGCGAGCTCGTTCACATCCAAGCAGGACCCACCGCACAGTGTTTTTGAGCTAGCCACCACATGATCTGCCGCAGTATCCTTGTACAAGAAGGCGAGCACGTCCTCACAGGGGCAGCCAGGTAAGAAAGCTACAGCTTGTTTGCAATTGTTGCTGCTACTAGATCCGAAACCCGAAACCAGACTCTCGCCCGTAACTTCCGGTACTCCGAAACCTTCCACCCGAAATGTCCTAAGCTAGTTTATGGATCTTAAAACAGGATGATGCAACTGTTCTGAAGTTCCACCACTACCAAGGAGGCTGCGAGTTTGCGTTTTTTCTGTCGCCCCCAACCGCTTGTGGTCTGCACAGTATGATGAGCAAGACCTTTGGGACATGCGGACTTGCAGCCTTACTCTTCGATTCGAATCAGGAGTGTGTTTGCATCGCTGTGTGTCAATCAGTTTTGGTTCTGCCTTCCTTTCTAGGAAGATGGTCGTTCCGCCTAGGCTTCTCACTTTGAGCCGTCGTGAACTCTAAACCCTATCTTCCTGAGTCCTGAACCCCAAACCCTAAACACTCCTGAAGATGGCTCTGAAGTTGATTGAATTATCGTTTCTGTTACGGGTAAGTACTTCTGTGTCTTGCGTTCTGAGTCATCTTGCGTGACGGGACTGCCTGATGATTTTCTACCTGCCGCGAACCACCTACGGGGCTAGGTTGCTGGCAGACAAGCGCACACTGCTGCAGGACAATGCGGGAACCAGATCGGTGCCAAGTTCTGGGAAGTCATCGCCGATGAGCATGGCATTGACCCAACAGGCAGGTTTTAAGGGTAGGTTTTCGGATTACAGTCGAAGCCAGAAACCTGGAACATCATCATCCTCATGCCCTGAAGCTAAAGCATGGGGGATCCCATTACTAGTCATCCTAAATCCATGTTCCAACGTTTTAATATTAGGATTCACGATAGTCTGTGCCGGTTCGGGTCTATGCTTAGGGTCCGGAGGTGGAGTCCTCCCTTGCAGTTCTGGGTTGGCACAACTAGGACGGCAGTTTGAAGGAGCCCTGAACCCTGAGGGTTTAGGGTTTAGGGCTTAGCCCTTAAACCCTATACCCCTATACCCCTACACCCGAAACCCCCAAGCCCTAAGCCCCTACATAAGCCAACAAATCCCCTAGACCCCTAAACCCTATAAAGCCCGGAAGCCCCGAACCCCTAAACCTTGAAGCCAGGTACCTATCATGGCGACTCTGACCTCCAGCTGGAGAGGACCCGGGGTTTTTTGAGCGGTTGTGAGTGTAGGGATTTAGGGGTTCAGGGCTGAGGGTGTACAGGTTATAGGGTCTAGGGTTTAGGATGATGCTTGCTTCGGACGTCCGGCCCCAGCCCGTGACTCAAAAAAGGGTTTAGGATTCAGGATGGCATAGCGACTTATGACTGTGGTGGTTTCCAGATCGAGAGGATTTTGTTTGGGCCAAATGCCTCCTTGCATTAAGCTTCCACTTGCCCTTTTCGACGAGGCCGCTGGAGGAATGCAATCCTCGCAAGTCTCGTGCCCCTAGCCAGGTCGAGGCTGTGTTGCGAGAGCTGCGTGTTGCAAGGATTAACGTCTACTTCAACGAGGCCACTGGCAAATTGCTGCCTGTACGCTTGGGATCGCAATTTCCAAACTTGACCGGCTCGTTGCCGAGGACGTCTAGGTTAGTGCACCCTTTCCTTAGCCCGCACATCTTCCCCGCAATGCCCGAGCTTTCGCTCCTGCGGCTAACCGCTACCGAGCTAGGTTGCGTGCAGTTCACACACACGCACACACACACACGTGTACTCCAACGAGGCCACTGGAGGTCGCTACGTGCCCCGTGCGGTCTTGATGGACCTTGAGCCAGGCCTGCCGTTTCATTCATGTCCCGGGTTTAACGGAGCTGTCTTGTGGTCAAGGAGCCATCTAGCCGAATAATAAAAGAACATTTCCACAGATAGATCTGCTTCTGAAGAGGTAATCATACCGTTGTTATTAAATTGTGCCCGGCGGCTTGGCGAAAGAATCCGTAGTAGGAGAGTCGATTGCGTTTTGCCGCTGACAGGCACGATGGACAGCGTCCGTGCTGGACCATTTGGCCAGTTGTTCCGTCCTGACAATTTCGTGTTTGGTCAGACCGGGGCAGGAAATAACTGGGCTAAAGACGCTTGGCGTGATCGTTCGCTTCAGTATATACTTGAGAGCATTTTCTGGCTTCACGCGATTCAGAGGTTTTCATAGATGTGTCTGAAGGTGCTAAACGTTAAGCCCTTTATCCGGGTTCGAAATCCAAGCCCTAGAACGCTTATCCGAGTTCTTGTCTGCTGGGCCAAGGGACACTACACCGAAGGTGCCGAGTTGATCGACAGTGTGTTGGATGTGGTGAGGAAAGAAGCAGAAGGCCGCGATCCTAGTCGTCTACGAGTGTGTGTATCGCGACGTATGTATGCCCAGATAGATCGATAAATAGATAGGTAGATAAATAGATAGTTAGATCTGTCGATAGATAGATCAGTGCGTATGATTCGCATCAACATACGCATGGAGATATGTAGCCAACCATTCAAAAAATATCAGGTTCGGGACACATTGCTTAGTCTAATTTCTAGTTTCAGGCTCAGGGTTCGGCTAGTCTAGGCAAGCCACATCCTAAACCCTAAACCCTAAACCCTAAACCCTAAACCATCTCTCGGGCTAAGCGTCACCGTCCATGCCAACCTCGGCCCGCTAGCTGTTCAGTGATGATTTTAGTGGAGCTCTCAAAGACCGTATTTTGTTTGCCAGTTTGCCGCTTCTTGCATTAAGAACCTGAGCATTAAATGCAGGCCTTACCTACCTTGCTTGGCTTTCCCTTGGCACCACCTGCAAACTGTGTGGGTTAGCAATAACCCTAAACCCTGAACTCTCAACCCTGAACCCTAAACCCTCAACTTCAAACCCCCCAACCCTAACAAGCCCGGAGCTGAGGCTGCGATTGCATGCAGGGGTTCCAGCTTTGCCACTCCCTTGGTGGAGGCGCCCCAACATCGGGACTTGAATTCTCTGAGGGGTTTAGGGGTTTATGGTTTAGGGTTGAGAACTGGGCTTGAATTCTTTAAGGTGTTTAGCGGTTTGGGGTTTGGGACTTGAGTTCTTTAAGGGGTTTGGAGGGTAGGGGTTTGGGGTAGGACTTGAGTTCATTAAGGGTTTTAGGACTTGAATTTTTTAACGGGTTTGTAATGTAGGACTTGAGAATTCTTTACGGGGTCTAGGTTTTAGGGGTTGAATTCTTTAAGGGGCTTGGCAGTTTTCATTCTTTGTACATGGCTCAGCAGATCGCGAACCTTTCTGAATGTGCAATTACAAGGTAAACCGTGTTGCGGGCCTGGGGACTCAGGAACTCGATAGCTCCGCCTTGGTTTCCGGATGTGTATGGGCAAAAGGTCGGCTTCGGGGTTTACCGAGTCTTAAGCCGAGAGCTCGAAACCCTATTCTTTCGTTGATGTGGTGGTGTCTTTACTCCATACCTCGACGGTCATTCCCTGTCTTGTTTAGCTTTATGGTTATGATCTGTTATATA